TTGTAGAAAATAGAAGTCTAGATTTTGTTTCTTAAATCTATTCAGCCAGCCTGTTTCTTTTGATTGAGAATTAAGGCCATTAAGATTTAAAGTTAGTTTTGAAAAGTGTGTGTTATTTGCACTCATTTTGTTGCAGACTTTTGTTTGTGTTCTTAGTCATACTTCGTGTTTTAGGAATTAATGCTTTGCTTGTTTTCTTTCTACAGCCTCTTGGCTATACTTATTCATCTCTTCAATTATAAGTATTGTTCCCAGTATTCTCTTTAGAGTCAGTTTGATGGATATGAATATTATTAGCCTGCTTGGATTTTGGAAAGTTTTTCTTTCTCCTTCAAATATGACAGATAGTTTTGCTGGGTACAATAGTCTAGGTCAATGGCTACGATCTTCCAGAACTTGGAATGCATTTCTACAGGCTCTTCTGGCTTTCACATTTTCCACTGAGAAATCATCTGTTATTTTGATGGGTTTTCATTTATATATGACTGATGTTTTTTTCTCTTTCAGCTTTTAATACTCTTTTTTTCATATTTACTGTTTTAACTATGATAAGCTATAAAAGTTTCTTGTCTTGTCTATTTGGTGTTCTGTGTGCTTTTTGTATTTATATTGCTGTCTTAGATTGACAAAGTTTTCTCCTGTGATTTTGTTGAAGTTCTGAAGGTCTATGGAATCTTCTCCCTCATCTATGACTATAAATCAAAGATTTGGTCTTTTCATGGTGTTCCACGGTTTCTGCAGGTTACTTCCTCTTTTTTTAAATGATTCATACTCTTTTCTGTTCTAGATGCTCTATTTTATCTCCAAGTCCTAATATTCCTTTACTAAATCCATTCTACTTGTACAGTTTTCTCTTCAGTTGTCTATCAGTTGGGTTATTGAGTTTTTCATTCCCATCTTTATTTGGGGTTGAATTTTCCTCAATATCTCTACCTCTGTATTGAAATCTATTTTCAAATCCTGGATTGTCTTCAGCCTTATGTTTGTGTTTTCTTGGGCATTAATCAGGTGTTTACTCTCTTTAAGTTTTTTTCTCTTTACATTCACTAAGCTATTCAAGTTTTCTTTAAACTCCTTGAATTTTGTTTTTCAAAATAGGGTCTCACTATGTAGCTTTGGCTGTACTGGAACTTACTATGTGAGCCAAGCTTGTCTCAAACTCATAGAGTAACACTGTCTCTGCCTCCAAGTACTGGTATTAAAGTCATGTACCACCCCACCCTGGCCTTTGAATTCTTTGATGAAGTGTATGGTGCTTCTTTTAAATTCTGTGTCCTGGAGTTCATCTAGGCAATTCTCAATGGAGAACATTTCTAAAGAACTGGTGGATTTGGGAGTTGGAAAAATGTTATCTTGATATTTCATATTATTTGCATTTTTGCCACGGATCCTAGAGACAAATATTTCTTTTAGTTCAGTGCCTGATATAGATACAACAGGCTAAGTCAGAGCACAGGACATGTGATGGGGTTGAGCCTGAATGTTATATATGTCATGGATCTGATAAATTCAGGTGAACACCAGAGCCTGCACTGACACACAGGGTAAGTGTCCTAGGCCAAGCCTCAAGGGTGAATGTGGTGTGGGCCCGACTGACTGGATTATGCAGAGGCACTGGATGTTAGACAAGATCTAGACCAGAGGGTTGAGAGTGGTATGCAGAGGGGAAGATCGGAATCAGGAAGATTCACCAACCTGTGCCATGGAACAAACGGTGCAGGACCCAGCTGCACAGAGAGCCACTGTTTTTCCTTTCCAGTGAATCTTGCCTCTCATTTCTCCCTGCCCCTTTTAAAAGTGGGTTTGGAAGACACACCCTAGAAAGGTCAAGTTTGTCTCAGAAGTGGTTAGAACTGTGTTTAGGATAGGCATTGTCACCCTAGAAACACTTTTAAATGAAGCGACTGACACCAGAAAGCAAAGATTCTAAGACATTCCAAGAAGGCAAGAGAGGCTAATGGGGTCGGGAGAGTAAAACTTGTCCTGCAACCTGTCATGCCCAGGGGAGCAGAGCTCCACCTTGATTTCACTGTCCATGGCTCACTCACAAGGCTCATTGGCCTTACTGCCTCAGAGATAATCATTTTGTAGCTATTGAGAGGTTCAGGGAATGCACCTGTTTTGGAGGAACCTGCAGCGTCCTGAATGGGCAGAGACTGTCAAGAACGAGCCTTCTACAAGAAACCAGTGAGCAGAGCAAGTCCACTTGACTGCTTTTTGCAGTAGTGGTCCAAGAAGTAAAAAAATCAACATCCTCTGGAAATCTCAAGAAGAGGAAAAGTTATTATAGCTTCAACAAAACTCAGTTCTGCCAGAGTTATTGGATTATTGCAACTCTCTGATGAAAATGCATGCTTTTCAGACTGGAAATCCTGAAAACCAGGGCCAGCCAAGACCCTCCCTGGCAGGAAGAAATTTATTCTGGAGTCACGTGCTACACCCTTTGGCTCTTGGACTACTGAAATAAAGGAATCCAAGAAGTTGGGATTTTTCCAAGAATCAATATATTGAGCAAAGGAAAAGGCTGAAGCCTATGCCAACCAGAGAAGGAGTTTGTTTCCTGCAGAGAGATTTCACAAAGTTCTGACAACTTGTCACCAACCTCCTGGGAGAAGGAAGCAGTGGCAATCATGTTGGGTAGTGCCATACCCTGACCAGGCCTACTTTAGTTATGCATGCCATTTGCCCACTATTTAAAACTAGACCCCACCCTAGTGACAGAAAGATGGGCATGGGTGGTTGTCATTTGGCCTCTTTGTCCATTTTCTAATGTGGCCACATTGAATCTCTTTTACCTGCTTTGCACCACTGTTTCTTTTTTATCTTTCATGTAATACATCTCAAGTGCAGTTTCCCCTTCGCCCTCTCCTCCCAGTGCCCACCTCCCCTCTTTCCCATATCCACTCCTCCTCCCTTTCCCTTCAGAAAACAGCAGGCCTCCCAGGACTATCAACAGAACTTGTCATAATAAACGAAATAAGACTAGGCACAAACCCTCATATCAGGGCTGGATGAGGCAACCCAGTAGGAGGGAAAGGGTCCTAGGAGCAGGCAAAAGAGTCAGAGACCCATGTAGGCTCCATGATTGCTGCTTCAGACTCTGTGGCTTTACTTCAGATCGTATAAATCTTTTGCCTTTCACTACTATTTCTTTAATTGACTAATTAATGGTCTGTGGCTGAGCCAGTGCCCAGGCTCTTATCCTAACAGCTCTGAAAGCAGCCACTCAGACCAAACTGCGCCTTGGAGATTCAAAAGCCAAGAATAGGGACAGAAGATGACAACGTCCTTACAAGGACATCTATAAATCAGGCAGAGACCTGATGCCATTGGTTCTCATGGGGTACACTATTGATTGAGGTCCTGGACTACAGCCAAAGTGCCACCTTAGTGGCACCATAGTGCTGGTAAGAACAAAAGTCAACAATGGGCTTTGTCTTAGCGTGCAAACTGACATGAACTTATTTTAGAGTTTAAAACTTGGAGAATTTTCAAGAAGAGGAGCCTAAAATACAGAGCCTAGATAGTTCTATTGCAGAGATTCTCAACCTTCCTAATGCTGCAACTCTTTAATACAGCTCCTCATGTTGTGGTGACCCCACACACACACACCATAAAATTATTCCATTGTTACTTCATAACTGTAATTTTGCTACTTTTATGAGTCATAACGTAAATATCTGACATGGGTCTTACAAAGTGATTGAGACCCACAGGTTGAGAACCACTGTTCTGTTGGTCCTATAAGCATGGGATGATGGATTAGTAGAATAATAACTGAAGGAGACCCTGGACTAGACACAAACCACATCCAAACACCTCTCACAGAGAGATCCTTTATTAAGCAGGGAAGAAAATTTAAATGTAACTGCTTTCTGACTCAGGAAGAAAAACAGCAGCAAATGACCTTGAAGGTACCATTTTTAGGAGAAGGAGGAGAGGTCTGTGTTAGAGTGGGCTAGGATGCAGTGGTAAAGGAGACAGGGGGTGAGAGAGAAGACTAGGGGACAAGGAAAGGGGCAGGGGTATTTGTCCTGGGGAGACAAGGGACTGCCTCTGGACAGAGAGGAGACAGATGTGGCACATAGGCAAATGGGGGCTTATAAAGGTAAAGAGGGACATCCTGTGCTAGGATGAAGTGTTTTTTAATTATGCATGTTAATTAGGTGAGCCAAAGGGGGCTTCTGATTGCTGGACCTTGGTAGTCAGCCTCAGGAGGAGGAAATGGCCAAATAAGGGAACAGACCTTGGTGGCTACCTTTAGGAATTAAACCTAGTGTTCTTTTAGGAAGTCAGAGGGAATGGGGGAAAAGGGTGAGGCCTGTCAGAGCCATGCTTGAGTGGGCTGGTGTCCCTTCAGCAGCAACAATAAAAATGGATGTATTTGTGCCATCTTGGAATAGCCCAGTTAACACACAAGAACATAAAACATAATTTTTGGTTTTCATGTGGTCACTGTGTCTACTTAAACTTGTATGAAAGGGTTAAAAGCTTTAATATTTGTTGATGGCAATCTCCTCCTGCTACTCCTTGTTCCTGGCTCTATCTATCTGTGTGTGTGTGTGTGTGTGTGTGTGTGTGTGTGTGTGTGTGTGTGTGTGTGTGTGTGTGTCTGACTCTTTATCTCTCTGTG